CAACTTCGGGCGGGGCAACACGGATTTCGGAGGGGCCACTCTACAGCTACACAGCTGACCAGAGTACCTACTGCACCACCTAGCGGCCGAACGCAACTGGGAGAAAACATCGTTGGGCGTCTTCTTGAACATCGAGAAGGCGTTCGCGACAGGGTGTGGCACTCTAGACTACTCTATAAGATGGAACAACAAAAGAGTGTCCCTCCTGCTATGCTGTGGCTAGTGGCGTCATTTCTAGCTGACCGGAGGTTCTACGTCTGTGTCGAGGATGCCGAGTGCGCAGTCAAACCGATAAGAGCTAGCGTACCACAGGGCAGCTGTCTCTCACCGATCCTGTACGCGGCTTACACCAATGACATACCAACGCTGGCTGAACATCTGTGCAAATGGGAGGATGACGTAGAGCTGGCGCTATACGCGGACGATAGCGCCTCTACTTTACCTCGTCCAGAAGAGCCCATCTCGCCGTCGCCAAGATGCAGCGCCTGCTGGACCTGCTGCCACCGTGGCTGGATGAGTGGAGGATGCCCGTGAACGTAGGGAAAACGGCCACTTTCCTCATACGCCGCTATAGGAACATTCCACTACTGCTGACACTAAGAGGCCAAGAGATCGCGTATCAGAAGGCCGTGACCTATTACAACAATTGCGGTCATGCGCAACATCCTATATACCCGATGCCGGATAGATAGGATGTTGCGCATGACCGCGCACGTCGATATCCTTGTCAATGCTAGATGTGCGCGGGCGATGCTCCGTCCAGTCCTAGCATCCAATCTACTTAGGAAAACCAAAATCAAAATCTACAAACTGTACATTAGACCGAAGTTATCATACGCCTCTCCGGCCTGGTACGCGCTCTTGAGGTCGCTACGTCCGGAACGACGTCATAGCAGCCAACCTTAAGATGGAAACTATAGAAGAATTTGTGGTCCGGCTGTCACGCGGTATGTTTATCCGTGCCGACTACGGGCCACACCCACACCTGAATAACTTCGCGTCGCTACACACCCGGCCTCCGGACGGACGACCTTTATCAAGAGAACTCCTCCCTATGTAAATTAGGGAGTTGAGTAACAACCCCCAATGACACTGATTGACCAACTAAGACCTTTTATCCAATCTTGACACCATTATGCAGCGACCGGGGAATCGAACCCCCGACCGCTGCTCTCTTCTAACAATGCCGAGTAATCGGCTTCCAGGACCGGCCCATAGAAGTTGGCCGTGATGATAACCCGGGCAAAGGGGAAGATGCCCCGAGGCCCGAAATCTGCTGTGTGTGTACAAACACATCAGCAGACAACAACGTAAGGTGGCAATTCGTTCGGGACGAACTACCAGTTTATAGTTTAAATCAAGAAAGAAAAAACCGATAGGGAAGTGATGGGAAAGTAGTGAAAGTTTCAACGTTACACTCTTATGGTGAAATTCAGAAGATAAATCACTGTTTTATTTCCTAAAGCACTTTTTAAATTATATGAAGATACAGTCCACTACCAAGGAAGGCGAGACTGGGACCACTCCACAGTGACCCGTAATCTTAGTCGTCTAACCTTTCTTTTCAGAAAGGGCGACAGACGTTCTCGTGTGACACTCCTTCAGGGGGGTCACGTCCACCTCGTTGCTCTCGAACCCAACGTGGTGTGATTTATGTTTCGGGGTAGAACGTTAATGAATGACTAACCCCCGTCTGTTGGACCCTTTGAGTGTTTTTGTAATTTTCAGTATTTGTAAGCAATAAAGGTATGAATAATCATTTATAATTATTCAGGCCTTTAAGGCTAAAAAAGCCTCAAGGCTGCTTGGGTTCGTCATACGAAATAGCAAAGGATTCAGCATTAATACTAAGAAAATGCTGTATAATACTCTCGTTCGTTCGAGTACTGTTCTGTTGTCTGGCGTCCACACTTTGCGGTTCAGAATCTACGCATTGAGCGTATTCAGAAGCGGTTTCTGTGGCATTTGGCACGATTAGTTGGTAAAGCAAAGAGAGATTTCTCATATGCGGATAGATTAAAATTTTTCAAAATGTTATCCTTAGATAAACGTAGGGAGCTAACAGACTTATTGTGTTCGTATAAAATTCTCAACAATAGAATTAGTTGCCCTCAGTTACTGAACTCATTTGATTTTAGCGCGCCTTCAAGATATCCGCGTCATCCGATAGCACCACTGAGACTACCAACCCGCAGAACCGTTCTCGGCTCCAACTCTCCATTACCCAGACTGTGTAAGCTGCTAAATAGCTACAAACACAGAGTTGACGTAAACTTTGATTCCGCTTATAATTTCCGTAAAAAGATTGTCGATAGTATGACTAGTACTTAATTTCGTGCAACCAGCTTGTGTTCTCTTTTACCATACGGATAAACAATGGTTTTTTTTTCCTTTTAAAATTGTTAACTTTATTTAGTAAAATCAAAACCCACTTAAGTTATTGTTATATTGCATGCTGTGTTTACTAGTAAGTAGTCACTACACTTAGCTTAAGAAACTTTTTTGTTATTTAAGATTCTATTGTGTTAGTTGACTGTTAGTAAACCATACGAATAAAAAAAATATAAAAAGTCTGCCCGTTTGTCCCGGCTAATCTTTGGAATGGCTAAACCAACTGTGATAAACCTTCACAAAAAGATGGAGTGCAATGCCAGGAGTGATCTTAGTTATATATGTACTTATATACTTTATCTGAAAAACTTGCAGAATTTTTTTTGTGTAACGGAAAAAATATGTAAATGGTCACTGATACTTATTTTTTTAACTAGATGTACCCCGCGACTTCGCCCGCGTGTAATTTAGGCTTTTAATTTTGTTGCGCGGAACCCTAATTATTTTTCTATAATATAAGTAGCCTAAGTTACTCCTTATAACATAAGCTATCTATATACCAGTAAAAGTCCCGTCAAAATCGGTCAAAAATCGGAGATTAGCCGTAACAAACAGACAGACAACAGACAGACAAAAATTTTAAAAATTGTGCTTTGTTACAAGTACCGATTATACTTTCATATGCAATTAGTAAAAAGCTGTTATTTTGACATTACAAACATACACTTCAATTTTATTTATTTGTATAGATATCAAATGACTTCATAGTAATAGATGCCACACAGTCGAAGCCGGTGCAAGTCGCTAGTTTTTAATAAATAGGTTCCTAATGCTATGAAATTGATTTTCATTAATAAGATTTTTTTTTAAATATTATGATGCGTTTTAATGTCGTTTGGTATCTTTAAAATTCCGGTGTGCGTGTGCGTACGTAATCACCATACAATCAGTGGCGCAGCTAACGTAGGGCTAGGTGGGGCCCCCCAGCTCGAGGGGCCCTTCGACCTTCATGAACAATGTTCGTAAAAGTTATACTACTTACAATAGTTAGTACCTAGTTATACTATATGAGTTAGTACCTAGTTATACTATAATAGTTAGTACCTAGTTATACTATAATAGTTAGTAACTAGTTGAATAAAGAATTTTCGACTTTTAACTTTTTGGCCGCTGACCAACAAACCTCGAATAGCTCGAACTGACACATTTCTCCCACCTCCAGAATATAAACATAACATGGTTTAAATAAAATTACCTACTTTGTTTATTGTCTACGTATATTGTTAACTTTATATATTTTAATGATACCAAAGTATCTGAAATTTTGATTATTCAAACATTAAACAATTAAAAATACATAAAGAAACCAAATAAAAGTCAGAGAAATTTTATTTGTTTTCTATATGTATTTTTAAAGGGTCAAAAGTATCCGAATTTGGGATTATTTTTATAGATAAGGGTGACAAACGAGCACACAGTCCATCTGATGGTAAGTGGTTGCTGTGGCCCATAGACATCTGCATCTATATTCGATTACGAATCAAAATGCAGATGCGTTGTCACCCGTGAGGACTAAGATGGAATGCCTCTTTTCCAGTAAAAAGGGTCTCCGGTTCTCTACACTCACCATACGAAACACAGCAGCGTTAAGCTGCTATTTTACGCTGGTTTTCTGTGAGAGCGTGGTCCTTCCCCGGTCGAGCCGACCCATTCGTGCTACAACTATACCAGTAATATAGCTGCAGCATAGCTCTACCATGTAAAACCTTTAAAAATTAATAAACTCTTTTGGAGTTATGAAATATTAACTTTATCATGAAAAAAGTCAGAGGACTTTTTTATTTGTATTTCATCAAAATATAAAAAATGTCCCGTTAAAAATTAAAGATTCCTAGCAATTTAAAAAAAATTGTTTAAAAAACATGGCACCGAGTCGCCCCTTTGTTTTTGAAGAGAATCGCATAAAAAATTGAGATGGTAAATGAATGCCGTAGAGAATTTAAAATGTAGAGTAAATGCGTAATCCTAAGGATGCGTTGTTATTAGTAAAAAGGGTCACGGTTCTCAACGTACGAAATACATCATTACACTGCTATTTTACGCTAGTATTCGATGATGACTGATGAGCGTAGTTTTACCACATGAGCAAGGAAATTTTACCCTGAACGAGCTGCCTACCTATATGTTCTGCAGCCCTAAAACAGCTGCAGGGTAGGTATACATCTTTACGCACGTGTTTGCTTTTTTCCTTCAAATTTTGCCGAAGGGACCTATTTTGAAAATTATATAATGAAATAAATATTTGCATATTATAGTTTAAAAGTTGTTATTGCCATCTAAAACTTCAAATTAAGCGAGCAACACCTGTTCGATTCCCGCAGGTACCGCTGGAATAGATAATTAGAATAAGTCCTAATTAACTAGATACTCTGTGGTGAAAGAGGGAGGTCTTCATACCTACTAGAAATGTTAAGTTGCTGCTCCTTAAACCTCTTACTTAATAATTGACTGCTGGGCCCAGATATATAGTGTTAATTTTGTATTTGTCATATTTCTTTGTTTAATATTGTGCCCTACTCCATTGACATACAAAGAAAATAGCCTCATATTTTAGATAATTAACGAATAATCAATCAAAAAGGAAATCGTGTTAATCAAATTACACTTACCAAGTTCCGCATAACACAAAGCACCAATCATAGAAAGGAATCCAGATAGCACCCACACAATCAGTGCCATGCCTTTGGAGCCGGCATATTTCAGTGCCAGGCTTGGTGATACGAAGATCCCGGACCCCACTATAACGCCAACAATTATCGCTACACCATTCAACAAACTCAACTCCTTCTTCAATCGGACCCCTTCACTGGATTCCTTCTCAACATTGTCATCAGCTTCTCCTACATCAATAGCCTTTGGTTGCAAACCTTGTGTAGCCGCGACTTTTGCCATTTTAAATTTTTATTTATTAGAATTAGATTAGCGCAATAATTTAATTAAAAGGTATAATAATTTAAATTTCTAAATTGAATTTGCTTAAACACAAAACAAAATTCATATTCAAATTCTTTAGTTGAAATTCTGATTCTCCGTTATGCAGACATTGCATCATATCGCTTGAGCTACCGCGGAAAACACCACGTGCTCGACGGAACACCATGAAAATAAAACATGAAATGATAACCGATTGAATATGGTTAACCACCCGCACAGTTGCTGATAACACGCAAATTATATTAAACGCACGACTATTCCTGTCACATAAAGTTAAATCCCGACTTACAGGTTAAAATATTCATGAAATCAAATTAAGAACCACTCTTATTATTATTATTAGTAATAAATAAATTCATGAAAACTCGATCACGTCTGAGTTAAAAGAAAATACATAGTAAAATATTTAACATATGTACGCAATACGATCAAAACTTCGACAGGACACGCCGCGATGTGAATTGTGAACACGTTCAACGTTACGCGTCCCCACTTTACTATTCAGTATACTTTTCCAAGTTAACCACGACTGTCTACCATGACGTCACTCCATGTCTAAAAGTCGTGAGTGTTACTGTATATTGGTCGGTTTTAAATCTTATTTGCGAGTACAGAAGAGCGTTTCTAATTTAACTGCTGCCATGTGAATTCACTGCCAAGTTTGAACAACCGGTTGAAATATATTCATCTCGTTCTTTTTAAGCACGTGTGCATTGGCATACTTTTACAGCAATACTAATTATGAACATTCGGAATAGTTCTGGTGATAATCTTCAGTGATAACGTAAGTTCAATGCTTGTCTCATGAGATGAAGTTTTTCGACACAGGACATGAGCAATTCATTTAAAATAGTGGCAGATCTTTGGAGGTCAATGACAGTGTTCGTGAAGTCAGAAGTTCAATCACACATTGTTATAAATGTAATAAAATCTATATAAATTTCAAAAGCATAATTTCGTAAATTTTTAAGTGACCTTGTCCAAAAACCAATCTTATCAGCCTCGAGCACAGGTGCAGAATAGCCAACCTCTCAGTATTCTATGGGATGCATTTCGGTGAGTGTGCGCAGGAATTACTTACATGCTTTAATTCCTCCGTCTCCTTTCCACCATCGGACAACCAGGCGATCAGCGGGTCTTCACCCCTTTGTTGTCGATATTCCACGCATTAGAACCAAACGGTTTGCTTCGACTTTTGTAATTATTTCACTCCTTTGCTGTACGCAAAGGAGTGAAATAATTTGTTTCTAATATATCCGTCCGAATACAATCTGGGCGTCTTCAAGGCAAAAGTGAATTGACTTTTATTGAGCTAAGACAGTACGATTTACCATCTAGGGCTTACATCACCACTTACCACCAGGTAGGATTGTGGTCAAGCACTGGCTTACAATAAGTTTAAAAAAAAACCTGATTTATGTCGGAAATAATAAAATTATATTCTATTCTATTTTGTACCTAGTCAGGTCATAAGCATTGTCACACAGTAAAAACTTTTCTTTTAGAATGCTGGCCACAAAAAAGTTTATTGAATTCGAATTTCGAATTGTTCATGAAAATAAAACTGTATACTTTTTAGAATTTTACTCATTTTTAAATATGGAGTGGACGCTTAAAGAAGACCGTGTTGCAGTTAGTGCGTTGCATCGTTGCGGTTACGCGCCAATTCAAATTTTTGACATACTGAAAAATTTGAATATAACCAAAAGATTCGTTTATCGTAACATTAAACGATACAATGAAGACTCTAGTGTAGATGACAGGTCAAGAAGTGGTCGCCCTCGGTCTGTTAGGACTCCAGCAGTGATAAAAGCTGTGAAAGCGCGAATTCAAAGAAATCCCAAACGTAAGCAGAAACTGTTGGCCCTTCAGATGGGGTTAAGCAGAACCACGGTGAAAAGAGTGTTAAATGAAGACTTAGGGCTTCGGGCATATCGAAGAAAAACAGGACAACGTTTGAATGCTCGTCTAATGGACCTGAGACTGAAGAGATGCCGCGCTTTGTTGAAGCGGTACGCGGGAAAAAAATATCGGGAAATTCTTTTTTCGGATGAAAAATTTTTTACCGTAGAAGAGAGCTACAACAAACAAAATGATAAGGTGTACGCACACAGTAGTGAAGAAGCGAGCAACCGTATTCTGCGTGTCCAACGAGGTCATTTTCCATTCTCGCTCATGGTATGGTTGGGATTTCTTATTGGGGCTTAACAGAGGTACATTTTTGTAAGAAAGGTGTAAAAACGAATGCAGTTGTGTATCAAAATACAGTCCTGACGAACCTTGTGGAACCTGTTTCTCATACCACGTTCAATAACAGGCAATGGGTATTCCAACAAGATTCGGCGCCAGCTCATATAGCGAAGAGCACACAAGACTGGCTGGCGGCGCGTGAAATCGACTTCATCCGGCACGAAGACTGGCCCTCCTCCAGTCCAGATTTGAATCCGTTAGATTACAAGATATGGCAACACTTGGAGGAAAAGGCGTGCTCAAAGCCTCATCCCAATTTGGAGTCACTCAAGACATCCTTGATTAAGGCAGCCGCCGATATTGACATGGACCTCGTTCGTGCTGCGATAGACGACTGGCCGCGCAGATTGAAGGCCTGTATTCAAAATCACGGAGGTCATTTTGAATAAACTTTAGTGTCATAAGAATCTATGTTTTGTTAAGTTCATTTTGGTATATAAATGGTTACATAATGAATAAACTTGTTTCAATTATTTTATATTAAACATGTGACAGAATTTATGACCTGACTAGGTATAGTATATGAAGTGTAGATTAATAAAAAGTTTTAACAAGTTAAAAGTATGTATTTATTAATAAAATATTAAACAACAATAGCAATACAAGATTATGTACGGCCCAAATTTGTTAAATATACAAATAAAATATGTGCTAATTTATGCCTTATCTTTATTAAGTTCATATTTAAATATCCTTGCAGTACCATCATCTGAAGAAGATAATATCAGATTTTCTTTTTCGTTATAACATAAATCTAGTATTTCTGACCAGTGTCCAGTTAGCATCAGACTTCTCTCTCCAGACCTTCCCTCATATACTCTGATTGAACCATCAAGGCAACCTGTTACCAGATGGTCCTTTACCCAAAACATCTTAGTAACTCCCGCTGCTACATCGTCTTCTGATTTCGAACAGTGATGACGAATCATTTGTCTACCAACATCCCAAATGGTTACAGCACCATTCAGTGTACCTAAAATAAAAAATAAAATCTCATACATCCAACTTTAATATTGCGTGCTAGAGCCATGCTGCAGCTATAAGTTGTGGCACGAATGGGTCGGCTCGACCGGGGAAGGACCACGCTCTCACAGAATACCAGCGTAAAATAGCAGCTTAATGCTGCTGTGTTTCGTATGGTGAGTGTAGAGAACCGGAGACCCTTTTTACTGGAAAAGAGACATTCCATCTTAGTCCTCACGAGTGACAATGCATCTGCATTTTGATTCTTTATTAAGGATAAATGTAGATGTCTATGGGCCACAGCAACCACTTACCATCAGGTGGACTGTGTGCTCGTTTATCACTCTATCCTATAAAAAAAAAATATAATAAAGTGTGCCTCAAACGAAACTTACATACCTAAAGCAAAGTATCCCAATTGTTGGTTCGAAAATGCCACTGCTTCTAAATCGTTTTCAGTTTCCAAATTTGCCACAATTTTTCCATTAACTGATGTGGACAAAATTGCTTTTCCTGCCAAAACAATTATAAAAATATGAAATGATCACTTTTTGAATTAATTTTATTTAGCATTAAACTTGTATTTTAAAATAAGACATTTTTAAATTGCAACATTTTTTTAACCTAAGGAATACGAAACTTCTTCAACCTACGCCGCGAAATAAAAAATTTTGTTGGATAATTTTTCAAAAAGAACTCGAAACGGTAGATACTATATTATTACTTTTTTAAATATCAGTACTAATTAGCACTAAGTTGATGAAAAAGTCAAACACAAAATTAAAAATGGATCCTTCTGAATTTGCATATAAGACCAAAAACAAATAACAAATAAGCAAACTCCTACACTCAGGGTGTGTGAGCGTATTGCCGCGCTTTTGGTGCAAAGAAGTTGGTTGTTCAAGGTAAAGCGGAAAAAGCAAGTGAGAAAGGTAGGTCTGTCATGTGCGATACATCCCCGGGTAAGCTATATATTACGCCAATTGCTTTACTAGCTATGAAATGAGATAAAACATAGGAAACAAACTATGTAAAGAATTTTTTATACGAGTATGCATGAGCACTCGCACGTCTCATTGCTATAGGCTTGCAAGCCTTAGATAAAAACGACTTTACGAATAATTCTTAATATTATTATATTAATAAAATTCTTACAAATTTACGAAATATTCTAAAATTGTTCGTAATTAGCCAATCTGCCACTGATCATCTTGCAAATAGTGCCGTGCACCAAAGTATAGTACGCAATCACCCACACTTCCTTCCGCGTGGAAAGATAATAAGATTAAATCCGTTACTGTTACTACTACAAAACATAGGCCTTACCCATAGATTGCCTCATAATGGGGACATTTGCCATAGTTGCCACACTTGGCAAGCGGGTTGGCAACCGCAGTTTTTTATTTTTAGTCGTTACTAGGAAGATGCTACTTCCCATCTTCTGATTTGTTTCCCTCTGTCGCTTCTTCCTACGGGATCATGTGGGCTGGTGGATATATACCGCCATCACGGTAGGGATTGCATCCACCCACCTCATAAATCAAGTTTCACCGACTATTTCTTGTTCAAAGAGAACACAGTAGACATTAATAGGCGCACTTTATAAATACCTTAACGATTATAATAATACCTTATGGTTTCAATTGAAATAACGGCAAAAAATGTAAAAAAGTACTTAACATCCTTTTTATGGTTGCGTTTTTTTTTATCATGCAGCTCAGACTAAACTATACCATTGTGATTTTTTAAGTACTCTAGCATTACAATTTAATAAAACTTACGGCTGCACGTGTTTTATTTTTTGCGAGCTACGTAATGGTATTATTACTAGTAGGTACCTGGACGTTTGCTCGGCATAAGAAAAAATAAACAAAAACTTGTAAAGTCAAATTTTACATATTATAAACAAAATATAATAAATACATCTATATTGATTGAGCGGTTTCTGACAAAAAATAAAGTAGTTGCTATATTCACCACGCTTGGTTGGCAACCACAGTTTTTTTATCATTTTGAATTGTTATTATGGAGATGCGGCTATCTTCTGGTACTGTTTGCGACTGTCGCCTCTTACGACACCCACGGGATGGTATGGAGTAATGGATATTCTTACACATGTTCTACCCATTAGAGTTACGACTACTATGAAGATGGTGTCTGTGGCTAAATTACCTATCATAATGATCCGGCAAGCAGTTTTTTGCTTTGCGCCGAAAACATGTATAAAATGAATTTTCATATGAAAAATAGTACAAAATTATTGTAGTGTTTTACAAGAAAATAATCGTGCTGGGTTTCTTGCTGGTTCTACCCATACAGATGTATTTTTCGAACCAGTGGTAAATAGAAAAATAACTGTCAATAAGTATTATGCAATTATATGTCTATAGAAATAAATAATATTGAAGTGTCTGTTCGAAAAGTCGAAATAATAGCTTTTTAATATATGCATGTGAAAGTATATACGGTACTTATAACAAAATAACGATTTTTAAAATTTTTTGTGTCTGTCCTTCTGTCTGTCTGTCTGTTGGTCTGTTTGTTCCGGCTAATCTCCGAAACGGCTGGACCCATTTAGATCGGACTTTCACTGGCAGGTAGCTGATGTTATAAGAAGTAACTTAGGCTACTTTTATTTTAGAAAAGGAATTAGGGTTCCGCGCAAATAATTGAAACCCATGAAATCCAATCTTAATAAATTCGCGCGGGCGAAGTCGCGGGATTTTTTGCCCCCGTAAACCCCTATATTGTAATTACATCGATCTTGTTATAGCCGTTTTTGGAATTTGATTACAAACGAAAATATAAATATTGCTGTATAGTATAAAACTAGCTGTTCCCCGCGACTTCGCCCGCGTATAATTTAGGGTTTTCATTTTTTTTGCGCGGAAGCCTAATTATTATTCTAAAATTAAGGTAGCCTAAGTTACTCCTTATAACACCAGCTATCTGCCAGTGAAAGTCCCATCAAAATCGGTCCAGCCATTTCCGAGATTAGCCGGAACAAACATACAGACAGACAAAATTTAAATGTTTTTGTTATATGTACCATATATATATATACTTTCATATGCAATTAGTGAAAAGCTGTTGTTTTGATATTACAAACAGACAATTCAATTTTATTTATTTGTATAGATATAGATGAAAGTCAAACCTCACACTCTAGAAGAAAATGAAAACCTGAAAAAGCCCTTTAAGCTTTAGGCTATAGAAGGTCTCAAAGAAACATACAAACTGAGGAAAATACACTTGATAAATACATAGCTCAGTATCAGTCTGTGGGAATTTAGGTAATACAAATATATCTTTCTGACAAAAATAAATTACCATCTGTAGATATGGATGCCATAAGATTATTCTCCGGATGTGTGTCAATAGCAGTTACTCTTATTTGATGGACGTTTTGTGGCACCTGTTGGAGTACAGAATTTGTTTTCAGATCCCAAACTTTTACTGTACCATCCTCATATCCAGCCGCTAAACGGACACCATCCGGAAAAAGCTGTAAAATAAAATTATGGTCACAATATGTTACAAGCATTGGTTACAAATCACATATTATAAACATTAGTTAACTATTGTATAGACAATTTATAAACATTTAAATTAAATCATTAATAAATTGCAATACAGCAATAGTAATTATTAACAAAAACTCAAAAGTATACATTACTGTTATTTAATACATTAGGTAATAACTGTAATCCCATTATCGAAATGTCTATTATGGTGTAAAGATTTAGAGCAGTATTAAACTGTTATAATATTATTCTGGTATTCTGTGTTAACATGTTTCTTCACTAGTCGAGCCAACCTATTAGTGCCACAACCATAATATAGATGCAGCCTGGCTTTACCACGTAAATAGCACATTAATGTTGCCTAATTTTTTTAACTATGATAAGGCAGTGCTTGACTACTACCCCACGGCATGGTAAGTGGTAATGTAGCTGAAGATGGTAAAATGCACCGACTTAGCTTATCAAAAGCTTATTTAATTGCCTTAAAAACAATGACAAAGTAATTGAATGACATCGAAAGATGTTCACAAATTATTCTATTTGAACAATGAAGCATTTGGTTTAATGGCTGGTGTGTGGACAAAGGAGTACAAACTGAGGAAGCAAATAGGAGTGAGGCATATTTATCGTAACAGATAAAAAAACAGGTATCTTCACATAGCAGACTAACTGTGACTAACAAACTGAAAGAACGACTCCTGTTCCACAAGATAAGAAATCCACTAAAAGAAAGTCACAAGTTTTTCTTTATTCATACATATAACAGTTACCTTTGTTAGAATAAGATAAAAAATGTTACTGGACATCCTGTTACTTGTCACAAGCTCTGTCCTTTTCTCGCATAGCTTAAACACCTTAGTTAGAAAGAGAAGTACCTACCAAGACTGTAGTAACAGACTGCTATATTGTAACAGGTTTTTGGAACTGTTATTTTTGTGGAACTGGAGCAGGTGCAACAGACATGCGATTTTACATGTTAAAGGAAGAGGGAGGAATTCCATGATCATAATATAAGGCTACAAAGTATGTGTGTGTGTTTAGGAAGGTTTAAATAAATAATAAAAAAATAGCAGATGATATTAATATTATTGAGAGAAATATTAATGACATCAACAGTAAACTTCATTGCAGCTATCTAATACTGCCTGAGCCAAAAAAAAGTTTAATATTTTATTTTAGTGTTTTCTGGTTTATACAAAAAACTAAAATAAAAACATTTTTCCCACCTAAGTTTATATTATAATATAACATAAGTGCTAAAAGCTAAGTAATAACCTCGTTTAAATATCCAATTTCTGTGAAAAAGAAGGTATATTAAAAATATTAATTTCACAACAAAAGTGAATGAAAACACACAAACATAAAATATTAAAAATAATTTATATTTCTCTATAGTCTGATGTTTTCAGCAAATAATAAACAAGAAAACACTAAATATGAGATAAAATTAATAAGCTCTGAATTGGGGTGATTTAGTTGATGGTTTTCAACTGGCAGTATCTCCAAATTAGGGCAAATTTCAGATTAAAAATTATTTGTTATCTAGCTTTGCCTAACAACAAGGCTCTCCATAAATATGAACAAATTATGAAACCGGCAACACAGTGAATTAATAGACATTTGCAGCAGTTATATGGATATGGAAGTCTTCGAGCCATCCCTGCTGTTTATACTGTTCAACTGATATTATTAATCATATAGACATTATAATATTAAACTAATAAAAAGATGCCATGGGTATCATGAGGCGACAGAGGGAAACTGAAAAAGAGGATAGGCAGCAGCCTCTTCCTGATAACAGCTCAAAATAATACAAAACTGCAGTTGACAATCTCCTCGCCAAGCATGTTAACTATGGCAAAATCTCTCCTAAGAGGCAATCTATAGGGGACACCTATGTTCGGCAGTGGACTTTTATAGGCTTTAATGAATATAAAAAGATGATTGTTAATTTAAACATATAAAAAATTGTAGGAAACTAATAATTCCATAAAAGATAATTTGAAAGTCAATGGTTTATTACCTTACCACATTCTGTTTTGATATTATGACCAGATAAAATTTTTGTATCTCCTGTAGGTATTTTAAAAACAAAAATATCACCGGTAACAGCACCACAGAATAGCACTCTGGTCCCAAAATGCCATAGACCCCAACTTAAATCATCTGCCTCATATTCAAATACCATTGGCCATTCTTGTTGAACATTTTCAAGGTTACATTTCCATATTTTTATTACACCACTCATATCAACAGTGGCAAGAAATGCACCATCAAAACTAAAGCCAACAAATATAACTGAGTCTTTATGACCTTTACATTCCATGATAACGTCGCCAGTTCCTACAGACCATACAAATGCTTTATCGTCCTCCCCACCTGTAACTGCAAATTTTCCACATGGATGGAGATCACAGCAAAATACTGAACCACTATGCTTATTGAAAACTAAGACAGCAAGATCTTCTGGACGTTCCATTTCAGTGTCTTCTTCTTCCAGGTCTGTAACTTCCTCCATTTCCTCAAATTCATCCGGCATGTCATCCATCTCTTCCAAGTACATGACACCTTCGTCATCCATCCCAGTAATTTCATCTCCATTGACAGATGATGGTGGGGTATCTTCATGGTAAAACCGCATTTTCTGTAGAAAAGTAGGTTATTATTGAAGGAAGTTCAAAGGAAACCATAAATATAACATGTATCTTGAGAAAAATAATTATTCAAACTGACCTATTTAAGTTTCAACTACAGTTGCTCGTTGAAACAAGGATGGTTATTTGTATATATTGTATTATTTTCATAAAGTTATGAGCAGAGGTTATATTATATTATTATGATTGTTGTTGTTTTTATTATTCGCTCGAGAGAGAGCAGGCAAAGGAACTATGCCATACAGCCTTGTCTTTATGTATAATTATCCTTCATAGTTCACTGCTTCACAATATGTTGATGCGTCACATTGTGCAGCCCTTGGGAGATTTTGACGGCAACTTGAGCCAGCAGGCAACTGACAGTTGGCGATGGTATCTAAAGGCGCCTATGCAAACAAACAGCTTATCTTGAGAATCCATCACCATCAGAGCACTTGTTTCACCGTTTCTACTAATAGTTCAGATGTGTAGACTTAATACATAAAATCGCACCACTTTTACATATCAAAATCCACTTCAAACTATTATTTAAACTATAATACAGGAGCAGCAAACCGCCGCCGATCAAGTTCCCGCCAAAACTCTTATATTATTAATTATTATGATTTATGACATTTAAAATTTTAATTTAACTTTTTTTATAACTGGCTTTACGGCTCTGGGTTCTAGCCTTTCTGAACCTGAAGTTACATTGTATAATTTTTCTTCATAGTACACTGCTTCACAATATATTGATACGTCACATTGTGCAGCCCTTGGGAGATTTTGACGGCAACTTGAGCCAGGAGGCAGCTGACAGTTGGCGATGGTATCTAAAGGCGCCTAAGCAGACAGACACCAAATCTTGAGAATCACATCAACACTAGAGCACTTATTTAAACGTTTCCACTAAAAGTTCACATGCGCAGGACATTTAATACATAAAATTGCACCACAATAAATATGAAAATCCACTTGAAACCATTATTTAAACAATAATACAGGAGCAGCAATCCACTGCCGGTCTAGTTCCCGCCAAAACTCTTAAATTTTTAAAACATCATAGACTAGCTTAATTCCATGCTCTATGCCTACAAATGACAACTGACATAAAACCATGAAGTTATAAATAAAGATGGAGGCCACACTTGGAACAACAGCTCATGAAGTTATAGATAAAGATGGAGGCCACACTTGGAACAACAGCTTGAGTCAAATACCTACGTATCTTTATCTCACTCTCTGTGGTCTGACTTCTCTTTTTAGTGTGGAACACAATATTGCTATGTTTTTATTTGAATCTCCCGGTAAATTCTTAGAAATAATTTCCACACTAACTAAATCAGAAGTTAAGCTTTGTAAAATAATGTAGCAACAAATAAATAGTTGATCTACGATTAGTTACATTAAAAATTCCAAAACTAAAGGTCTCGTATGCGTTATTGGGTTCATGAATCAGTGTATTACAATCCCATTTCCTAAGGATTCGATAATATGGCAACATTAGCCCTATAAGTCAACATAAATTAGGAGTTTTGGCGGGAAATTGACCGGCGGCGGTTTGCTGCTCCTGTATTATTGTTTAAATAATGGTTTGAAGTGGACTTTGATATGTAAAAGTGTTGCGATTTTGTGTATTAAGTGTCTACGCATGTGAACTATTAGTGGAAACAGTGAAACAAGTGCTCTGATGGTGATGGATTCTCAAGATAAGCTGTTTGTTTACATAGGCACCTTTAGATACCATCGCCAACTATCAGCTGTCTGCTGGATCAAGTTGCCGCCAAAATCTCCCAAGAACTGCACAATGTGACGCATCAACATATTGTGAAGCAGTATACTATGAAGGAGTGGGGAAATTACAATAAACCGAATAAAAATACTCAAGACTTGGCCTAAAGGTCTAGATACCAGGCCATAAGCTCCAAAAAAAAAACAACATAAATTAAACAAATATGGCGGTTGTTTACTTAGCAGTTCACAGCGTCGTTTGAGATATTTAAAGTTAATTATTGTTATAATTCAAGAAATGGTGCAAACTTGTGTAGTACGTGGTTGCGACAGTAGTTGGTGTCCAGGAGGTGATATAAGATTTCACACTTAAGTGTTTAAATAGTGACTTCTGACATTGAATACTTGTAAACCTTAGATTATTTACTCTCTAGATAGAGTAACGGCCACAGAGTACATTATATATAGGGAATAGAGTCATCACTTAGAATCGTAGCATTAGCGCCATCTAGCGATATACGACGTCCCTACAGCCCAGCGACGACGTAGGATGCTCTATATTACAATATTTATTATTTATTTTCAAAGTAATTTCCAAAAGTCAAACCATTTTAATATTGATTTGGCTTTTGGAAATTACTTTGTATACAATATAATTTAGGCAAATAATACAACTGTTTAGCGGTTGGATGTTTTTTTATAATGCTTCCTTTTATTATAATAGTACACAACAACTTCTCTCAAAAGAAGCCACAATCCAGGTCAACAGAGCACAAATAGTTAAGCAAATCAGGGTCCAGTTTCATGCGTAAGTGCAACGAAAAAGGCGACGTCTTCGGAGTCCGGGAATCAAGCAAAGTTGTTAAAGTTTTATAAACACAAACAGAGCACATTCACAAACCACGAAAAGAAATGTAATGACAAACAGACAAATTAAATTACGTTAAATGAAGTTACTAGTTTTACACTCACACAAACTACTAGTTTTAGTTTCTTTTGTTTTTAATATTGTATGTATAAAATAAAATTAATTAAATATAAATGACATTTGTAACATTGACAGACCGAAATGACCATAGATCTCTCCCTCCGGCTCTTACCATAGATAAACGGAGAAAACAATTTGCAACGGCGAAATCATAATAATTCACTTGAATAAATGTAAAATAAATAAATTACACTAAAAACTTAATTACAAATTTGTTTTGTAACAAAATAGTAAGTTAGCAAGGTTCGATTACATTTTGAACTATTCATTAATTTGTTTGATTCTTAATTGGCCTAGCATGGCTAAATTTAAAAAAAGCGACATCTACTGCAACATGGACAAACTGTCTTGACATATTAAAACCTCTAAGAAAAATTATAGTATGGACTGTTATGCCACTGGTAACGGCGGCTCAAAAGCGTCGAAAAAAATATCAGCTAACTGTTAGCCTCTAAAGCAATCCCCACTCCTCATTGTCAATTGTAACGCCAAGAGATACGCATGCACGGCTCATTGTTTTGAGGTAAATTATTTTGGTAAAAATGACAAGTTCCGCGATCAAAATCTGCAGAAATTACAAAGGACGTTTACAAACAATTAACAAAATCTCCTACCATCGGTAAGTAACTCAAAACTAATAGTAATTTACGAAAACAAAACTAATAAATTGATAATTATATTTACAAAATCAACGCGTCATTTTTTGGTGTTGCCAGTCTTGGATTGCGAATTTCCCCATATAGTTGTCTTAAGAGCTGATGTATGTTCATTTTTACCGACTTCATCAAAAGGAGGAAATAAATCATGTTGGGTGTATGTATGTGTATGTGGGTACATTTCAAAAATTGTTTGACTGAGCCTACAGCCTAAATGGATGGACCGATTGTTTTTGTTTTGCAAGATTCCGCGCATTCGGGTGTTTTTCCCGAAACCACAGTGATATGTTCTGAACATTTCCGTGAAAAAGACTTGTATTTTGCAAATAATCAAGGCCGGCGAAGATTGAAAAAGGAAGCGGTACCGAAAAAAGTATGTTTTATTACGTACAAGCTGATGAAGACTATTATGATGATTTACATGTTTAACATTCTATTTTGACTACAGGCATTATTCTTATCATCAGTGAAATCTGACGAAAGTGATATCACTGATGAAGATGTTGAAATGACGATGGAATATAACACTGAAAAACAAAAGCCCATGAATTTGGTAAGTTTTTGTTATGATACCTACAGCAAATAATAAGGGAGCGTTATGCTAATCTGATTCATGTACAGGTAACGTTAATTTAACATTAATCCATAACAGTAACTATTCTTAGAAAATATTATTCCATTAAATATAATATTTTCTTTACTTGTTTATGCGCTCTTTAAAATCCAGAGAATTACTACTTGATTATCCAGAGTAGCATTTTATATCGTTTTACTATTACTACTGCTACTATCGCTTCTTAAAGATCACAACATCGAAGCTATATACCTACTTTACTTTTGATTTCAGAATACTCCCGCATCAAATGAAGAGCCTAAAACTTCCTCCTCTATAGCATGCACCAATGTAGTGTGCACTGATACTTCGTCTCCTTCTATCAGTCGCGTAGCTCATAAAGTTTTGGCTAATAAAACAGCGAAATCTGAAAATGATATTGAAATAAATGAAGAGTTTTCAGATATAGATTCTATTTTTGACACTCCTAAAAAAGCAAAGTTGAGAAGAGAATTACGCAGAAAAATTCGTATCCAAAAGAAACATTCTCTAAAAATGCAATCGCTTAGAAGAAAAAATCTACGACTTAAGAAGAAACTTGCAACTTTCAAAAATATTCTTATTACGTTAAAAAAAGAGAGATACATAGACAATGATACGCATAACGTTCTAGATAGTAACGTATTTGCTGCTGACTTATATGCTACAATGAAAAAAAGTTACAAAAAAAATCTAAGAGACCTGTATCTAAATATGCACCAGAATTTAGAAAATTTTGTTTAACTTTACATTTTCTGTCACCAAATGCGTATAGATTCGTCAGGAGTAAATTTGAAACATGCCTTCCTCACCCGAAAACCATATCGAAATGGTATGCAAATATCGATGGTTCTCCAGGGTTTACAGAAGATTCGTTCAAAATTTTGGATGCTAAAAGAAAACAATCCGATAAAAATATGATTTGCGCATTAATAGCGGATGAAATGGCAATTAGACAGCAGAAGTGTTTTAATGATAAAACTAAACAGGATGATAGTATTGTTGATATAGGCACTGGTCCTAACGAAAATATGAGAATCA